AAATCGCACGCTCGCCTGCATTTCGCGCACTCGACACGCGCGATCTCCGCAGAGGGTTGCACGCGCACCGGACAAATCGTACTCTCGCCTGCATTTCGCGCACTCGACACGCACGATATGTGGAGAAGGTTGCGCGGGCAGCCGGCAAATCGCACTCTCGCCTGCATTTCGCGCACTCGACACGCACGATCTCCACAGAGGGTTGCGCGCGCCCAGGACAAATCGGACGCTCGCCTGCATTTCGCGCACTCGACACGCACGATCGCGCGGGCAGCCGGCAAATCGCACTCTCGCCTGCATTTCGCGCATTCGACACGCACGATCTCCGCAGAGGGTTGCATTTTCGGTTGACGCTGTGCGTCCCACCCTCCGCCTTTATAATTTATTAAAGTGGGGAAATGTTTTTCATTAGGACATCTCCCGTGCAAGTTTTCCATACTCACACTTGCATACTCATTGCATATACTCATTAGGACATCTCCCGTGCAAGGTTTCCATACTCACACTTGCATTGCACTTGCATACTTTTGCACTTGGATACTTGCCGTTGGATGCTTTCACTCCACTTACACTGGGATACGTATAGAAGTGTAAGTGTTCATGTTCAAGTGTAAGTGTGGAAGCGTAAGTGTTGAAATGTCAGTGTTCAAGTGCAAGTGTGGAAGTGTCAGTGTGTGAGTGTAAGTGTAGAAGTGTCAGTGTTCAAGAGATTTTCCGGAAGAACCCTTCGCAATGCTTTCGGGAAAAAGCCATGTTTTTCAATGAATATCTAAAGGGTTGGAGCAGGTCTTGCCAAAGGGGAGCCTGTTTCCTTCTACGCAACGCCCAAATGGAAGACGGAAGCGTACGCAGGCACAAGGTCTATAGGAGTCTAGGACTGCTAGCTCCGCAACATTCACCCAAACCGTTTCCAAACCAAAGCAACTCGTGAAGACTCGCGAAGACTCGCGCCTGAACTCGGTTATGGACGGAAAGAAGCAACCAGGACATCCGAATCTAAAAGACCCAGCGTCCAGTCGCCATGCCCTTCGGCATGGAGCTGCTGAGTCACCTGCTGCTGCGGCAGCAGCAGCAGCAGCCCATCATTGCAGCAGCATGCTGGAAACAGAACATTCAAAGCAGAAAGGTGCTGCAAGATGGCAACGGTGGCCTGGCTCAATTGCTCCAGCTCCGCGGACGCGCTTCCATGCCTCCTCTCAATACTTTCAAACGGAACATCTTCGCAAATACTAAGCATAGATCGCCGCAACTGTGTCGCAGGAAACCTTTGCTACGAGGTCTGCTGCAGGAACGGTCCGGCAATCTGAGAGCCAGCGCCAAAAGTGATACCTCACATCATCTTCAGCGCCGGGCGCTCGCAGCGGACAGAGCGATAGAACGATGCTATCCACCAGCCTGTTGCGATGCATGTGCTCGCATAGGCCCACATCCGAAGCTATCCACCAAGGACGGCTCCGCGTTCCTCATATGCACACGCCTCAGACGGCCTCGGAGGGTCGGTCTCCCAGCTCCTGCGCCAAGCGTCGCAGTGACTCCGCAGTCACCGGTTCCTTGGTAGGACCCGAAGATGGTGCCTCCCTCCTGTAAACATCTCTTCTGCATCACCGTCCAACCTTTCGCCGTGCAAGCTCTGCACCTCTCTCCCGCCACCGCGACAGCCCATGCATTCGGGCCAATGTGGAAAAAAGCATTTTTCATCACGTGTGAAGTTAGAGTGTGAGTTATGTGTTAAGTGTTCAGTGTGAAGTGTTAAGTCGAGTGTGTTGAGGCAGTGTGTGGGTCTCTCTGTGTGTGTGTGTGTCTGTGTGTGTGTGTGTGTCAACCCCTGTGCCAAAGGGTTCACTGCCAACTTCTACCTTTTTCACAGCAGGGGGCCATCCCCCTCCCCAGTGGCGGATGGCCAACGAAGAGGCCACTGGGGGGGGCTGCAAACGTACCTGCTACAACTGTTGAACACGCTGTCCAATTTGATCAGTTTGATTCATGGTCCTTCATGATACCTACCCCTTAAACTTTTTTCTTTTTTCTTTTGCCGCCGTCAGCTGCGCCGCTCGTTTTCGCCACCGCCGACTTTCTGCAGACTTGAGAAACAGCCTTTGTTCAAACACCTTCAACTTTTCGGACCTTTCACCCTGCCGTTCCTTCGCCATTTTTGACCTGGGAACTGAGTTAACTGAAAACCAATGTCAGAGTGT